GGGGACCATTGGCCAAAATTCCTCTCCACTGCTCTCCAGGAAAGCTGGGACTGTTCAAAAGGGCCACCAGACATCCGGGCCACTCGGTCCTGCCCTGGGTCTTATCGCTAGCCAATGGCATGCTGGTTTCCATGAGTGTTCATGGGACATCTTTGTCCCAGGCCTTACCTGTCACTGATTAACCAGTCTCCAGCAGCCACTAGAAGTTTTGAGAAGCCACTCCCCACTAGCCCCTTTTTTCCCAGCCAGCCATGGGGGGCTGTTTTTTCTTCTTTCTATATCAAGGGTCTGTCCCATCTGGAAATTTTAAAAAAGCACCTTTCATGAGTGCCAGAGGCAATTCATGCTAGGAGAGGGTAGGCCCTGGCCCTAGGGAACTACTGGGGACCCATCTTAAGCCCCAATTCAGGCTTCATGGGCTCCCCACTTAGTTTACCGCTTCTGCCTGGGGACTGCTGCTCTACTCTGAGGGTTACATCTGATTCATTCATTCATTGGTTCATTCATTCAATTCATCCATCATGTATTCATCCAATATTCATCCTACCATGTACCAAGCTTTAACCCAGGCGCCATGTTACAGTGTGGAGCAAAACCAGACAAGGTCCCTGTTCCCATGGAGTATATATTCCTGCCAGAAAAGATGGGCAATAAACAAACACACACACACACACACACACGGAAAAGATTCAAGAGTGGCAGCTGCCACGCAGCAAATAAAAGCAGGGTAATGTGGGGGTGCCTGGGTGGCTCAGTCAGTTAAGCATCCAACTGTTGGTTTAGGCTTGGGTCGTGATCTCAGGGTCCTGGGATGGAGCCCCACACCGGGCTCTGTGCTCAGCGGAGAGTCTGCTTGAGATTTTCTCTCTCCCTCTGCCCCTCCTGCTCGTGCTGTCTGTCTCTCTCTCTCTCTCTCTCAAATAAATGGATAAATCTTAAAAAAAAAAAAAAAGAAAGAAAGTAAGGTAATGTGGTAGAGTGACTGGGTGGGCAGGGACAGCATCCACGAGGAGATGACCATGAACCTGAGATGCGAAGGATGAGTAGCCAGACTTTCAAAAATGAGGGTTAAGGCTGAGCTGGAGCAAAGAGCTGACTATGAGTTGGAACATACAGAGAGGAACAAGAGAGAAGAGGTCTCTGCCCTCCAGAGTTTCTAATCTAGATGGAGAGACAGAAAAGAGGCAGTTACAATTCAGCTAGATCAATACTATGACAGGAAGAATATGTAGAGAGCTCTGGGAACACAGAGCAAGGGCCCCGAAGGCTGAGTGTGAGGGCCAAAGTAAGCCTTCTGGAGCAAGTGACATTTAAGCTGTGACGTGAAGGATGAGAAGTCAGCCAGGTCAACAGGGTGAAGGCGAGGTGAAGAGAAGGGAGGACATTCTTGAAGGGCCAGTGCTCCCAGTGCATAGGCATGTCTGGGGGACCAAGGAAAGTTCCCAGAGCTTGAGGAAGGAAGGGGAGGGAGTCCTGGGACGGGAGCCTGGAGAAGTAGACACAGTCATGTCATGGATTTGGGATTCATATTTTGATGACAGTGGAGGACCCATCAAACAGTGTTAAGTGGGGGAGAGACATAATCCGATCTATGTTTTGAAAAGACCATTGTTCTGGCTGCTATGGGGAAACTGGGCTGTAGGGGAGTGAGAGTGGAGGCAGGAAGATCAGTTAGGAGTGAGTCCACTATCCAGGTGAGAGAGGATGTTGGCTTAGATCAGGGTGGTGGATGGAGACGAGATCCACGAGATATTTAACATGCTCCTGTGGGGCGCCTGGGTGGCTCAGTCGGTTAAGCGTCTGCCTTCAGCTCAGGTCATGATCCCAGAGTCCTGGGATCAAGTCCCGTGTTGGGCTCCCTGCTCAGCGGGGAGTCTGTTCCTCCCTCTCCCTCTGCCCTCCCACCTGCTTGTGCTCTCTTTCTCTCTCTCTCTCAAACAAATAAAATCTTTAATAAAAACATGCTCCTGTGTCTCCTGTATTTTTTGTATACTGGTGGTTGAATCTAAAGGATTAATCAGATTTGGGTTTATTTATTTATTTATTTATTTAGCCAGACCACTTCATTGGTGGTGGTGTGTGCTTTCATTGGGAGGTACAAAAATGTGATAATGCTTCTTTGTGTGATGTTAGCAGCTATTGCTAATATGGCTAATCTCATGCATAGATTTCCACTGAGGATTGCAACATGGTGGTATTAGAATTCTACCATCCCATCTTCACTTATTAGCTGGAAATACTTCAATAAATAGAAATGTCCCCTCATGTACTATATGGTGTTATAGTGGTACCATTTCTGTAGAAAGGCAGGAGGGATGCTTGATTCTCTCCCTCTATTTACCAGTTCCTAAAATAATGAGTTGGATCCTTAGCACCCTCCAAAAGTGACCAATAATTTCTTCCCCATCTCACGCCAGTCAAGCTTTCACCCCCATCATCCCACCTAAATGGCTCTAGTCAAGGTCATCAATGATCTTCATGATACTAAATCCAGTGATATAGCCTCCACCTAGGTTAAGTCTCAGCAGCATTTGACACACTCTTATTGAAACATTTTTTCGCTCTTTTCTTCCAGAACAATCCACTCTCCTGGTTTTCTTCCCACCTCAATGACTGCTCCTCAGTCTCCTTTGTTGATTCCTCCTCTTCTGACTTCTTTTTTTAAAATTAATTTTT